AAATAAATAAAATCTTTAAAAAAAAAAAAAAAAAGATCAGGAACAAGAAAAAGATGCCCACCATCTACACTATGGATTAACATAGCAATGACTGGTAATATTAGCCAATGCAATTAGATAAATCAATCACAGGCACAAGAACTGGAAAAGAAGTAAAACTATCTCTATTTGCAGATGTGACTGTGTACCTAGAAATCCCTAGAAAGTGAATGATAAAACGGAATAAAAAAACCCCAGTAAAATAGGATATAAAATCATCACATAGAAATCAATAGTCTTCATAAAATTAGTAACCAGTAAGAGGATACAATGGCAAAACAAACAAAACCAAAACATTTCCACTTACAATAGCAACAGGGAAGATATTTAGGAACAACTTCAACAAAAAAAATGTGTAAAATTTACATGAGAAAGTTCAAAACACCCTTGAAAACAACAAAATTAGATTTGAATAGAAAAAAAGCAGCTCTTGTTCTTGAATAAGATGACTCAACATAACAAATTATGAACAATCACAATAAAAAATACCAACAAACATTTTTATGAAGTTGGACACGTTGATAACTAAACTTCATATGGATCAATAAACAGGCAAGAATAGCCAAGAAAACACTAAAAATAAACATCCTTAAAGAGAGACTAGGCATTAAAACATTTTATATAGCCTCTATCATTAAAACTGACGTTTTGGTTATGTGAATATTGACCAGTGGAACACAACAGAAAACCCAGAAATAAACCCAAGTATGTAGAGAACTTGATATATGATAAAGTCAGTATCTCAAATCACTGAGGCAAAGGCAGACCTTTAAATGCATAGTGTTAGGACAAGTGACTAGTCATCTGGAAAAGATACAATTAGATATACACTTTGTATCATACAAAAGAATATCCCCAAATGGACCAGGAATCTAAATATAAAATAAATGAAACCACATACATGTACTAAAAGAAAACATGGGTAAATTTATATTTAACTGGGATGTAAGGAGAGGCTTTCCAATTAGGATTCAGAATCCAGATGCAAACGAGTGATACATTTGCTACATTGAAAAAAACCTACATGGCAACAAAACCAGATAAACAAGTTCCACAGGGGCACGCCTGGGTGGTTGAGTGTCTGCCTTTGGCTCAGGTCATGATCCGGAGTCCTGGGGTTTGGGATGAGCCCTGCTCAGTGGGGAGTCTGCCCCTCCCTCTGCCCCTCACCCTGCTCATGCTCCCTCCCTCTCACTCGCTCTCTCTCAAATAAATAAAATCTTAAAAAAAAAAGTTCCATAAACAAGTCAAACAAGGAGAAACTGTCTGCAGTATGTATCACATAGAGGCTACTATCACTAAAAGATAGTAACAGTATTCCTAGGACCAGAGAAAAACAAAGACCAAAAAAACGTGACAGAAAAATGAGCAAATGACACAAAAAGTTGTTTAAAAAAAATGAACCTTTGACATACAAAAAAATATGTTCAATATCACTCATACTAAGAGAAATGCAAATTACAAGTATATTGCGATACCATTTCTCACCTATCAGTTGGCAAAACTTAAAAAGCCTGATGATGCACACCCTGGCAACACTGTGGGGAAACAGGCATTTTTATGCACTGCTGAATGGAAATGCAAGTTGGCATAACCCTTGTAGAGGGGAATCTGGTAATAGCTAACAAAGCTATATATACATTTATCTTTTGAACCAATAGTTGCATTTCAGGAATTTGTTCTGAAGAAACACCTCCAAGAATACAAAAATACATCTGCATAAAGTTATTTGTTGCAGCACCGTTTGTAACTGCACGATACTGGAAGGATCTGTACACAAAAGAGTGGTTAAATAAACTGCAGTACCTCCATACTGTGGAGTTCTCTGCAGCTGTAAAAAGAATTAAGGGCTATGTCTATGCACTGTTGTTGGAATGACTTCCTTCTTAGGTAAGGGAAAAGCAAAGTACAAAAGAATATCAACAGTGTATTAGATTTGAACTTCAGAATGTCTCTAACAAATCAGATCTTAAAAAAAAATAATTATAGGGGCACCTGGGTGGCTCAGTCAGTTAAGCATCTGCCTTCGCCTCAGGTCATGATCTCAGGGTCCTGGGATCGAGCCCTGCATCGGGCTCCCTGCTTAGCAGGGAGCCTGCTTCTCCCTCTCCCTCTGCCTGCCTCTCTGCCTACTTGTGATCTCTGACAAATAAATAAATAAAATTTTTAAAGAAAAATAATTATAACATTAACACACCAAAAACAATCACTCCTGCTAGCACTGAACGCCTGATTCCTCTTAAAATTTCTCTGGATTATCTTAACATGTCTTCCTGCAGCTTGAATCAAGATCAAAACAAGGTCCACACATTATTTTTGGAAGATGTAACTCCTGAAAGTATGACAATTCCCTCTACTTCTCTCCTTTTTTTAAAAATGCTATTGACAGATGGTCTTTATGGTTGATAAAACGTGTTTCTCTAGCTCCTTTATTTCCTGTAAACTGCTAAGGGCTTGATGGGACTGTGGCTCACCTTTTTTCACTGCTGTTACAAGACTGCTTAGGTGGTACTGTTTACTCCCTACTGCACCACCCGTTTAATACAGTTGCCCTCTATTAGTGTTATAGTGGTTTCTAGATCCTCAGGCAATCTGAGTTCCTAAAAGCTTATCCGAGACCATATATTCATGGCAATATACACACGGTGATCAAGCTACCAGGTTAATTAAGAGTTGACTGAGAGACAACAGAGGTTATCAACGGCAGTAAGAGAAGCTGGCCAGGAATTGTTTCTCTCATAGGTAAGAGGCCAAAACGTAGAGGCAAGATGAAGGATTTGACTTGATATGGAGAGGAGGCCGCCAGAGGATGAACATCATGCTTACAGAAAAGATACTGGGTTCCACTTATAGTTCTAAAAGATATTTTATACACTAGTACCAATAAATGTTTCCAAATTAACTCATGGAGAATTCAAGATCTACTGTATGATGTTAGTTCACCCAAACAGTCTTAGACATTTTCCACCTTTAAGCCTAAGGGACTGATCTCTAAGCCAAAGATTCTCAACATGACTACAAAGCAGATTCTCCTGGGAAGCCTTTAAATTCCAGAGGCGTGGGTCCCACCCAATCAATTCTGATTCAACTGGTCTAGGATGGGGATACAGTATTATTTAGTATATAGTATTATTAAAAATCTTTCCAGGTGGGCGCCTGGGTGGCTCAGTTGGTTAAGCGACTGCCTTCGGCTCAGGTCATGATCCTGGAGTCCCTGGATCGAGTCCCGCATCGGGCTCCCTGCTCGGC